TTATTTTTATATAATAACCTCTGTGTTTGAATTTAAATGTTTTACAGGAAATGGAAAGATTGCTGTGGCTTCAATAATGGAGAGCCTGAAGAAGCTTAAATGTGAGTGGAAAATTATTACACAATACAAAAATTGGTAACTGGATGTTTTCTGTTTATTTTGGATGCTTTATTGGTTATAAATATAATACATGGAAGGGCACTGATGACTCACGCCTGTAATCCTAGCTACTTAGGAGGCTGAGATCTGAGGATCATGGTTCCAAGCCAGCCTAGGTAGGAAAGCCCATGAGACTCATGAGACTCTTATCTTCAACTAACCACTAAAAAGCCAGAAGTGGAGCTGTGGCTCAGATTGGTAGAGCACTAGCCTTGAGCACAAAAGCTCAGGGACATGGCCTTCAAGCCCAGGACCACCACCACCACCACCATCATCATCATCTTCATCATCATACATTGAACTTGTGAGTTGTGCCTCAAAGTAGAGCACTTGCCTAGTAATGTATAATATTTTAGGGACCTAGGTTTGGTGATACTTTTAGCCTACATCATTCAAAGAGCAACACATAAAGTAGAGGGAAGGTTAATTTAAATACAAAATGCACTAAATTATTTGTAGAATCAAGACTAAAAATGCTTGTGGGAGACTGTTGAGAGTAGGAACAGGAGGGTAGGAGGGTGAAATACAGGATAGTGAGTATGAATATGATCAAAATACTTCATACACATAGAGGGTCCACCCACTCCTTATAGATGCTCCTACCTAACCATTAAAAGAACAGAACACAGAGCTAGCGGTAGACAGTAGAGGCTGAAACAGAAGGTGGACACAAGAACTACGGATGTATGGCATCCTCATGTCTATTAGAACATAACAAAAATCCTCTTTCTTTATGCTCAACCTTAACTCATGATCTCTGACCCAAGCTTTGTCTTTGTTACATCTTGGGCAAAGGGACCCAAAATTTACTTGTCTGGAACAACTGCTGAAAGAACAAATATGAGAACAATGATATCAAGACTCTTTAGGCTATGGGTATAACACTCATCTTTATCATGCAGATAGTGAACAAAGGCAATACGGAAAGAGAGGTCATATTCTCAATTTGCCTGCAGACAGGTGCATGGACAGACAATGTGAACCAAGTAGAGAAAAGCTTATCTTACTTTAAATGTCACTGCGGCCACTCCCAACAGGGGCATGGACTTCTGGTCACCATAGTGACCATAAATCCCAGCACCTCATACATGCATAAATTCAAGACATATATGCATACAGACATATGCAAAATAAGAGATAAATGAAAAGTTTTTATTTCAATTCTGACTCCAATTTTTGTGTAATTTTGAGTCTTTCTCTTGTCTTTAAGCAAAAAAAGCGAGTCTACACAAGCTGATAAAAAATGCCAGTGATCTTAGAGGTGAGTGTGCAGTCTGTGTGAAGGCATCATCAGACAAAGGTGAGTGCTATAGTTTACAATTGTTAAGTCTCATAGGTGTTTCCCTACTAATCTTGGATCTACTCTTTGTCTACCAATCCATAAAATAGATGGACATCATTATCTCTCCAACTGTTTTTCTCATTCCACCTCACATCTCACTTGACTATTGTTTTCTTTTTTTTTTTTTGTCGGTCGTGGGGCTTGAACTCTGGGCCTGGGCGCTGTCCTTCAGCTCTTCAGCTCAAGGCTAGTGCTCTACCACATGAGCCACAGCGCCACTTCTGGCTTTTTTCTTTTTGCTTATGTGGTGCCTCATGCTTGCAAGGCAAGCACTCTACCACTGAGCCACCTTCCTAGTCCCCAAAGCCTAATTTTTAATACTCATAAACTCCATCTAATAGCAACTGTCATTACTGCCATTGTAACACAAGAACCCGATAGCAAATAGTTGTTGATTTGTAAATTAAACTTTCCCTTTCTTTCCTTTTGTATTCCTGACCAGGATGGGAGATAAGGTTACCAAGTCTGAGAATACTTGGTAAAGCTAAATTATGCTTATAATGAGCAACTCCCAGGGCAGGAATTGGAAACTTCTAGAAATGCTGCCACTAAGGGAAGTCTAGAAAACTTTTGAAAGCCTTATCATAAAACAGCTAATCCTTGGGTGACAGAGGCTATATTTAGCCATAATAAAGGCATTCCTAGCTTGTATGCTAGAGAACTTAAAATAAGACAAGTCAGATCATGCACATTATAGTTTCTGCTTGACATGACTATTTTCTCTGTGTCAGGATCTTACTGTGGAACCCAGGCTGGCCTTTGAGTTCAGAAATCTTTTTGCTTCAGCCTTCCAAGTACTGGGAACAATTTTTTTCTTTAATTGCTCTTTTTAAGTCACTTTTCCTCCTAGTATTAAAAACTATGAGTTTGATTTTTGTTGTTGCCTTTCTTTCAAGGTTTAAACAATTAATGAAATAGGCTTCTAGTCATCATTCGGTCAAGGTACCTGTGTAAAATGTTTTAACTTGAACAACTTTCAACTCAGTAATGAAAATATATTAATACAGGATTTAAAACAACTCCCCCTCCTTCATGAAATTTCAATGGTGCGTAAAAAAGAGGTTCTCATTTTGTAATTCACACCCTCATGTACACTGCGCCCCCAAGGTGCTGAATGAACCACATTGAAAAATAGTTTCTCTAACACTGGAAGGAGTTTATGGTCATTTTCTCCCTGGGCCTGAGCCTGAGCAATGAATGAGGTCACAGTTGCATGATGGAACAAAAACCCTTTATTGGATTCTTGATCTGAAGGCCCGTGCTTAGTAGCACAGTTTAAAAGTAGGTAAATAAGAGGATTTTGTACAATTGTATGCTGAGTCCTTTTAGGAAAAGGACTTATCATCCTTATAAGAAATTGAAGGTTTTTTTTTTAAGTAATGATTATTTTGAGCCAGAAGACTATTTCACACACTTTTCACGTGCCTAGATTGTTGAGCATCTCTGCAGTTCCCAGCTCTGTGGTAGGTTTCTCCATTCTGAACTCTGTGTAATTAGGTTGTTTAGAATGATTGCCCAGGTGAAGACCTGGGCAAAAAAGAATTCTAACCAAACATTCTGAAACTCTTTTTATTTGTGGTTTAATAGTACTTAGTCTTCATTATTCCTAATACAATTTAAAGGTTAAAAAGGTAACTTGAGTGGTAAAACCAACAAATTTGGGGAAGCTCTACCACCTATCCCTTTGTCTCAAACTACACAGGAGGAGAAAGGGAGGAGTAGGCAGGCCATAGCAGTGCAAGAATGCATTCAAGAGTCTAGGATGACAAACAGCCTTGCATCCATACTCACTCCTGTTTTTGACAAAGATCAGTGGACTCATAAAAACTGACAGGGAAGAAATGTCTGTCTTAAAAGGAAACCCAGGGGAAATATACTTACTACCAAGCAGGTAGCTAAAACAAACAAATAAGTAAATATATTAGGAATGATGTAACATTTTACTCTTTGCAAAATGAAATGTTATGTTTTCATAGGTAAATTGTATCTTTAAATACTTTTTCCACATATTTCCAGGATGATTTATCTGTATTATTGTTTTTGTTTTTTGTTTTTATTATTAGGTAGTTGTATAAAGAGGTTTCAATTCTATAAGCCAGGTTATGAGTACAATGCATCTTGATCAATGTCACCCCTTCTATTGTTTTCCTCTTCTTTTCCCCCTCCCATTCCTACCCTCAAGATACATAGTTCATTTTTTACATATTATACATTGGATATAATGGCTGTGTTTGCTCACCCTTCCTCCTCCACTCACGTGCCCCCACAAGACATTTCCACATCCTGGTATTCATTTTGTTAAACCACTCATTAGTTGTTCCATTGGACTCCTCTCCTAATAATATTGCTATTTTATTAATGTATACAACCTGATGATTTGATACATTACACATTGAGAAAGAATCACTACAGCCAAGCTAATTAACATACGAATCACCTCACGTAGTTACTGTAGGGGAGACAGGAGTTTTGTTTCTGTAAGTCACCAGACTCTACATTCAATCTTCAGAAATTATATGTATAATTGAAACTTGTGCCCATTGATCAGTATCTCCTCACATACCCCCTGTGCACCATTCTACTTTCCTGTGAATTTTACTGCTTTAGACTTTACACATGAGAAAGAAGACAACAGCATTTCTTGCTGTGTATCTAGTTTGCCTCATTTAGCATTTTTTTAATAGAGGATAACAGTGACACCATTGGAAAGGGAAAGCTGTGGCAAAAACAATTAACTTACAGATCAATCTAGAGATAGTAATGAGACCTTTCCATATGACCTTTCAATTTTGCACATGATTTTAACTTGGATTTGTATACAGAGTCATTCTGAGAGATCCTTACCTTTCATACTCAAGGCCTGTGATCTGAGAAAGTTGCAAAAAAATTAAGAAATTAATCTGTGAGAAGCTGGGTGTGTGGCTCAAATGGGAGAGCACCTGCCCAGCAAGACTGGGTTTAAACTATAATACAGTACTACAAAAAAGGAAAGAGAGAAACCTAATATGTAAACTAAACTTAGTGATGTATATTTGGAATACCAGTACTTGAGAAACTGAGGCAGGAAGATTGTGAGTTTGAGGCCACCTTGGTGACATTCTGCAGAAAAAAAAGAATGGAGGGGAGAGAGGAGGAAATGAAAGCATTAAGATAATAAGGAAGGAAGGAGGGAAGGAAAAAAGAAAAGGAGGATGGACTAATCTTCCCAGGCTCTGGTGGCTTGTGCTTGTAATTCCAGCTATTCAGGAGACTGAGGTCTGGAAGATCATAGTTTGAAGCCAGCATGGGCAGGAAAGTCCATGATATCCCATTTCCAAATAATCAGCAAAAAGCTAGATTGGAGATACAGGTCAAGTAGTAAAGTATCAGCCATGAGCAAGCAAGCAAGCAAGCATAAGACCTTGAGTTCAAGTCCCATATTGGTATAATAATAATAAAAATAATGAGCTAACTTATGAAATGATCCTTAATTCCTTAATTGTATCTCTGATTTCCAGTTAGAGTCTCTAGCCACATGGCAGTTTCAGAAGTTAAATCAAAACTTAAGCTGAAACCCCTAAAAGTACCTGTCCTCCAAGCTAGGAGGTAAGTAATAAATGTATTAACATATCCAATAAAGAATTATTAAGGCAATAAATGTGTTTACTATGCCATAAGGACAAAATAGAGGGATGGGGAATGTGGCTTAGTGGTAGAGTGCTTGCCTTGCATGCATGAAGCCCTGTGTTCAATTCCTCAGTACCATACCACACAAACAGAAGAAGCCAGAAGTGGCACTGTGGCTCAAGTGGTAGAAGTGCTAGCCTTGAGCAAAAAAAGCTCAGGGACAGTGACTAGGCCCCGAGTTCAAGCTCCAGGACTGGCAAAAAAAAAAAAAAAGACAAGACAAAGTAAAGTGGTCCTCAAGCATTTTGTACTAAGTTTTCTTATAAAGTAGAACATCTAAATTGACAACAAAGACAAAGATTTTTTTATGAAAAAGAAAAAGAAGAACATTCTTTTGACTGGAGAAACAATTCTTGTTCTTTCAAAATAAGGACCTATTTTGTGTTATGACACAATACCTTAAAGGGCTGGGTACACACCTGTAATGTCAGCACTAGGGAAAGTAAAACAGAGGGATCAAGAGTTTAAGACTAAGCCCAGTGCTACTGGCCCATGCCTGTAATCCTAACTACTCGGGAGGCTGAGATTTGAGGATCATGGTTCAAATCAGCCAGGCCAAGAATCCTATGAGACTCTTATCTCCAATTAATCACAGAAAATGAAGGAAGTAGAGCTAGTGGTAGATTGTTAGCCTTGAACCAAAGGAGCTTGGGGGGCAGCGCCCAGGCTGAGTTCAAGCCACCAGTACTGGCAAAAAAATAAAAGAGTTTAAGACCAGACTAAGATACAAAGCAAGACTCTGGCTCAAAACACTAAAGGTTAGTGATATAGGTCAGTGATAGAGCACTTGCCTCACCTGCAGAGAGTTCTAGGTTCAATTCCTAAGAAACACACACACTCAGAAGAATACATTAGAGAACTTAAAGGAGTTTTCTGTTATATAAGGTATTTTGAGTGCCAGTGTAAATAAATGTACAAAATCATAAAGAAGACTTAAGCCCTAAGCAAATGGAAATATGGAGAAGAAAAATATAAGGTATACAGGCTAGCTACCAAATGTGAAAATAATCTGCTGTTGAACTTTGGAAGCAAAATCAGTTTTGAATATTACCACAGACACTAATACATGTAGAGACTAAATCATGATTCATTGAAGTTGTAGGGAACAGAGAAGCTTAGTGTCAGTACTGACAATATTTAGACAGTATTCTTGTAAGAATGCTACATGTGTGGTTGCCATTTTGCTGACGAGCAGTAATTGTTCAGTGTTTAAGAAGATAAAAGCTGGATACCAGTGGCTCACACCTATAATTCTAGCTACTCAGAAGTTGAGATCTAGGGTTCTCAGTCCAAAGCCAGGCAGAGCAGGAAAGTCCATGAGATTCTTATCTCCAATTAACCACCAAACCCAGAAGTGGTACTATGGCTCAAAAAGGTAGAGCACTAGCCTTGAGCAAAAGAGATCGGGTACAATGCTCAGGCCCTGAGTTCAAGCCCCTTGACTAACAACAAAAAAAAAAAAGATGAAGAGAAAATGCATGTCAGGATTTAATACAGTCATGTATATTTTTTGGCACATCAAAAATTCTCAGTCATTACCTTTGTTTCTTTATATTGTTGGTCTTTATGCCCTAGAGATTACAGTTGAAAACTGAAAAATAAAAACTTCATGAACTTGCTCTGTGTGCAAGTATGTGTGTGTGTGTGTGTGTGTGCGCACGCGCATGTGCGTGTATGTGTGTGTGTGTGTGTAAGAAAAAGAGACAAAGAGAGAGACAGAGAAACAAGATAGTCTCTATATTTCAAATATAGCCAGGAAAATGAAATGGACTAAATTAGCCAGGTGTAGCCAATGGGTTAAAATTGGGACGTGGAATTTGCCTGTATCATTAACAATAGCTTTTTCTCAGTCAAAGATCCTGAATAACAGCCTCTAAGGACTGAGCATGAGAACCAAAGATAGTGATAGATTTTATCAAGTTATAGAAAGAAAACCCTTTTCTCATTTGAGAGGTTTGGGGGATTTTTTGTTTGGAGGTTTTTTTTTTATTTTTGCTGTAGTGTCTTTGAATTTGTCACTGCTAAAGCAAGACATTTCTGACATTTTTGTAGTGACAATAACCTCCCAGAAGGTACAGCCTCACTGCTCCCTGTCCTACCATTACAAGCTGCCTTTTGAAATACAGTGAGTTCTCTGACACTGGAAGTAATCAAGCAAAGATGAAATAAAAACATGTGTGTTGAAGCCGGGCATTGGTGGCTCACGCCTGTAATCCTAGCTACTCAGGAGGCTGAGATCTGAGGATTGCGGTTCAAAGCCAGCCCGGGCAGGAGAGACGGTGAGACTCCTATCTCCAATAAACCACCAGAAAACCAGAAGTGGCGCTGTGGCTCAAGTGGTAGAGCGCTCGCCTTGAGCTGAAGAGCTGAGGGACGGCACCCAGGCCCAGAGTTCAAGCCCCACGACTGTCAAAATTAAAATAAATTTTAAAATCATAAAAGATATTCCATACTCTCTCAAATTTTCATTCCAAAAGCATCTAAAATAATCTTATAAAATCAAAATTATTTGAATTAGTTTACCATTAAATTGTACTTAGTTAACTATAATTAAATTTTATTTACAATATTAAATCACACCAGTTTTATATATTACCTTATTCCTAAATAAATTACTGTAGGTCAATACAAAGTATCCCCTAACTATTAATATTTACCTCTTTTTCCATATTTTACTTTATGAAGAAATTAAACATTTCCCAGAGTTCCAAACTTTCCAAAAGCATTTTATGTCTTTTCCTTGTTTCTTTCATATATGGTAAAAATACAATTTGTGACCAAAGTTGTAAAATAATAATAGACACAAAATATTATCTACAAGCATATTCATTATAACATTAGGCTAATTAAAACTTTAATTAGGGAATAAGATATTTAATCCCTCTGAAATTGAGGTGTTTTGTTTTTGTTTTTGTTTTGCCAGTCCTAGGGTTTGAACTCAGGGCCTGGGCACTGTTCCTGATCTTGTTTTTGTTCAAGGCTAGTGCTCTACCACTTTGAGCCATAGTGCCATTTCCAGCTTTTTGGTAGTTAGTTAATTGGAGATATGTGCCTCACAGACTTGCCTTTGAAGTGTGATTCTCAGATCTCAGCTTCCTGAGTAGATAGGATTATAGACATGAGCCCCTGATGCCCAGCAAGTTTTATACTTTTTAAGGAGTTAAGTATGATTGGTGGGGCTAGGAAGGTGGCTCAGTGGTACAGTGCTTGCCTTGTATGCATGAGGCCTGGGTTTGATTCCCCAGCACCACAGAAGCAAAAAAAGTCAGAAGTGGCGCTGTGGCCCAAGTGGTAGAGTGCTCACCTTGAGCTGAAGAGCTGAGGGACAGTGCCCAGGCCAAGAATTCAGGCCCCATAGCTGGCAAAAAAAAAAAGTATGATTGGTAAGTAGACAGCAGAAGTAGATCTCAGTGGTCAATGTTTTCTCACTGTCCATCCTGTAGCTTTTGGCAAGTTACAGTAAAGGGGTCTACTTAAGTAATGTGACTGGATATGTTGTGATGCTTACAGACATTCTAGTCAACAGAAACTGCAGAAGGGGACTAACATTTTCTGGCTTCACGTTTGCATTAAATCTAAATCTTCTCATGTCTCTTCTCAGGGAAAAATATTTACCAGGATCTCTTCCATGCCGATCACAGCACAAAGAAAAAAAGTTGAACTCTTCACAAATGGAAGGTAATGAGATTTCAAGAGTTGTCTATACTATCTTATTAACTTCAGAGGGACACCTTGTGTGGGATCAGAGGGGAATTGTTTTCAAATTAGCACCTCCCTAGAATATAGACTGTCATGGTCTTAAAAGAATTTGTAGTAAAAAAAAAGAACAAATGCAAGGTCAAATATAAATCAGAAGACAGGTGCCAGTAGCTCATGCCTGTGATCTTAGATCACAATTTGAAGTCAGCCCAGGCAGGAAAGTCTTTGAGATTCTTATCTCCAATTCACCAAAAAGCCAGAAGTAGGACTATGGCTCAAGTGATAGAGCACAAACCTTGAGCAAAAAAGCTAAAAGACAGCACCCAGACCCTGAGTTCAAAGCCTCAGTATTGGCACACACACACACATACACACACACACACACACACACACTACCAGAGTTTCTCAAAGACAAAATAACGATACTGATTAAATGAGCCCACATTGGCTACAGTTCATTTACCCAAACATGATATCTGCTTAAAACCAACAATGTGCTAGGCATGAGAAACAAGTCAGACATGGTGCCTGCTCTGGTGTGAAATCTAACCAAGAAGAGTCAGCTAAGCCTTGAAATGATTAGTTATCATATAACACAAGTTAAAAGCATAGAGCATCATGAGAGCATAAAAGAATGTGTCCTAACTTGGTCTTGTGAGGGAGGAGGGGAGTACTAGAGAAGGCTGAATGATGGGTAGGACAGCTAGGGATTTGGCTCAATATAGAATTGCATGCATGAGATCCCAGGTTCAATCCCAAGGACTATCAAGAAAACACAATTTTAAAGGCAAATTGACTTGTTTTTTTTCCACTCACCTGTTTCTAAGTTCCATCCCTGCTGTAGCAGACACCACCCCTTCACTCCTCCTTAGGAAAGACAATATTCTGTGTATGCATGATGAAGACTAAGTTGGGCAAGGGATACTGACAGGAGTGTTCCCGGAAAGACAGAACAGAATCTACAAATATTCCACATAGTACTTTAAGCATTTCTTTGTAAATACTTCATCTGTCCAAAACATACATACACATAGATTTACTTTGGATTTTTATGTGATGTATTAGTTTTCTAATGCTGACATAACAAATTAACAGAATAATACAGCATAAATTTATCTCTCAGTTCTATAGGTCAATAGTCCAGAAAGGCTTGGCTGGCTTAAGTCTTACAGAACCAAAATTGGGGTGGTAGCTATCCTGGGCTCTTACCTGAGGATTCTGGAGAATATGTGTCCTATCAGTTCCTTATAGAATTCAATTTCTTGCAGTAATAGTACTGAGATATCAGTTTCCTTTTTTGCCAGTCCTGGGGCTTGAACTTAGAGCCTGAGCACTGTCCTGAGCCTCTCTGTGCTCAAGACTAGCACTCTACCACTTGAGCCACAGTGCCACTTCCAGATTTTTCTGTGGTACTGAGGAATCAAACCCAGGATTTCATACATGCATGCTAGGCAAGCACTACCACTAAGCCACATTCCCAGCCCCCAGTTTCCTTTCTGTCTTTCATCCAGGAGCCCCTCTTAGTCCCTAAGGCTGCCTATATTTCACATCACATTGCCTCTCCAACTTCAACAACAGTGGGTTGAGTGTTTCTCATATTCTGAATGTCTCTGACTTCTGACAACTCTCTCGTGGGTCTAGCTATGTAATTAGATTGGGCCCACTTAAAAGGAAACAAAACAAAATAGCAGTTTTTAATTATGTACAACATCCTTTTACCATGGAAGGTTAATAAGCACAGGTTTCAGGGTTTAAGGCTCAAGTTTATTTAGAAGGCTATCTCACTGACTACACTTATTTGTGTGTGTATGTGTGTGTGTGTGAGAGAGAGAGAGAGTAAGAAAGAGAGAGAGAGAAGAGAGAGAAAGAGAAATAAAGAGTTTTGCTACATAGCTCAGGCTGGCCTCAGATTCAAGATCTTCCTGCTTAAGCCTTCCCAAGGGGTGGGATGACAGGTGTGTGCTACCACATCAGCTCCACATTTCATTTTCTACCGATTAGTTTATTCCAGTTCAAATATCAAGAAGAGGTAAATATTCTGCATTAAAAATATAAAATACTTATTTTTCTCTCAGCAGTCTTCCAGAACATGATCTTTGACCAGCTGCATTGTCTGTCCTAATCCTGTTAACATACATTCTTCTTCTTGAATAAAAATCCTAACACAATTCCATTTCTCCAGCCTTCCATGATGCCTACAACTTCTTCAACAAGGATAAAACTGGCTGCATTGATTTACATGGACTGATGTGCACTTTAGCTAAGTTGGGAATGAATATAAACAAGTATGACATCTATGCCGAATTAAAACTTGCTGATCCTGATCGTGAGTATTTTGTCTTCTCAATGTCTTTGCATGAAAGACTTTTGTTAGTGTCTGTTTTTCCCTCTTTTACTGAAACTATAGTTAGTAGACAAAAGCAAAAGGAGCCCCTATACACACTAATCTCCATAGTTTCAGTTCTCTTGACTCAAGAGAAAGAGACCACATTTACATAACCCTTATTACTTTATTATCATTAAAATTGTTCTATTTTCTCATTGGTTTTTAACCTTTTATTATGCCTAACTTATCATTAAACTTTACCATAGGTAGATACCTTACCAAGGTAGTTTATCTTTAAATTTTACATATGGTAAAATATCAGTAAAAATAGTGATGCTACATAGTCTTAAATGCATGTATCCTCTGTGGATTACAGGACTGTTGTTTCCATTCTAGAATATCAATTAGGCAGGAACTTTTTGAAAAGAGTCTCAGGAGCACAGGAATACTTGACAAATGGGATTACATCAAAATAAAAAGTTTCTTTGCACCAAAGGACACAGTACTAAACTGTCAGCCAACAGACCTGGGAGAAGATCTTTACCAGCAATACATCTGACAAAGGCCTAATATCCAAAATATACAAGGAGCTAAAAAAAAAAAAAAACCCGTCCCCCCCAAAAAAACCCAATTAATCAATACATGGGCAAAGGAGCTAATGAGACTTCCCAGAAGAAGAAAGAATGGCAAATAAACACATGAGGAAATGCTTAACATGCATGGCCATAAAGGAAATACAAATCAAAACAACTTTGAGATTCCATCTCACCCCAGTTAGATTGGCCAACATCAAGAATTTGAACAAATAGGGGCTGGGAAGGTAGCTCAGTGGTAGAGCGCTTGCCTTGCATGCATGAGGCCCTGGGTTCGATTCCTTAGCACCACATAAGAAAAAAGAAAAAAGCCAGAAGTGGTGCTGTGGCTCAAGTGGTAGAGCGCTAGCCTTGAGCTGAAGAGCTGAGGGACAGCGCTCAGGCCCAGAGTTCAGGCCCCATGACCGGACCCAAAACAAAAAACAAAAAAAGAATTTGAACAAATGCTATCAGGGGTATGGTGGGATAAAGAACCCTATTGCACTTTTGGTGGCAATGTAAACTAGTACCAACCACTCTGGAAAGGAGGTTTGGAGGTTCCTCAAAAAACTAAACATAGCTTTTTCACTATGACCCTACCATACCACTCCTGGACATCAACCCAGATCATTACAAGGCAGGATATGATAAAGACACTTATACATCCATATTTGTGCTGTACTATTCACAATAGCCAAGTAATGGAAATAGCCCAGATGTCCTGCAATAGATGAGTGGATCAAAGAAAATGGGGTACATATATACAATGAAATTTTACTCATCTATTAGAAAGAATAAGAATATGTAATTTGCAGGGAAATGGATGGACTTAAATCATGTTATGTGAGGTAAGCCAAGCTCTGAGAGACAAATGACACATTTTCTCTCATATGTGGAAGCTACATCTAAAATATAACTGGACATGATAACTTATACAGAACTCTAAGCATTCACACACAGTCATACTAAAGGAGATACTCTTAGAGGAGGAACAAAAAGGTGTAACTTCTCTGAACATTTAAAATACTATTTATTGAAAGGAATTCAGAGAAATGGAAACATAGGTTATTTTCTTGATGGTGGTGGTAGTGTTTGTTCTTGCTTTTGGGTTGGGGGTGGTTGGTCTATTTAGTGGGTGATAAATGGGACACAGAAAGGGAGGAAGGAAGAGTAAACAAATGCAATCATGCTATTCAGTATACACTGTGTAGAAAATGAACCATGCAACTTGTGGGCTGGGATGACAGGGGGAAACTGTGTGAAAGGGAAGGAAAGGGGTGACACTGTCCAAAAAATAAAGGTACTCATCTGATTTATGAAATGGTAACCCCTCCGTATACCTTAATAATAACAACATAATTATATTAAATATGTAGATACATACATGTTATCTTTATTCTGATGTTATATTTCTGTTGCAGGAGATGGGAAAGTGAACTTCTCAGACTTTATGAAGGTGCTAACAGATAAGGAACGCTTCCTCAAGGCTGTGGGTGAGTAGGCAGTCACTGCAGCAGTTCAGTTCACTACCACCCCCTACATATTCACTTAATTCTCCAACCAGGAGACAAATCCAGAAGGAATAGTGTGGGATGTGATTTACTTTGTATTGCTTCTCTCTGTCTCTCTGTGCCTCTCTCTGTCTCTGTCTCTTCCTTTCTTTCTCTCTCTCTTTGTCAGTTGTGGGACTTGAACTCTGGGACTGGGTACTGTCACTGAGCTCTTCAGCTCAAGGCTAGTGCTCTACCACTTGAACCACACTACCACTTCCAGTTTTCTGGTGGTTTATTGGAGATAAGAGTCTCATGGACTTCCCTTGCCTGAGCTGGCTTTGAACCGTGATCCTCAGATTTCAGCCTCCTTAGTAACTAGGATTACAAGCGTGAGCCACCAGCACCTGGCTTTGTATTGCTTCTCTTAAACAATATTTTTAAAGCAAACTTAACAGTTTTTGAGCTGTAATTTAAACATCAAAAAGTAGACATTTGTGTCTAGAAGGGAACATGGCATGTTTGTCTCCAATAAGAACATTCAGGAAATGACAGGTGTAGAAAATTTTGGTCTCCTTTTGTAGTGTCTTAAATTCTTTATCAAGTACATGTACTACTTTCAAAGACATTCCCTTTACAAAAGAAAAGGCATTTCTTAGCCAGGTGCCAATGACTCATGCTATTCAGGAGGCTGAGACCAGGCAGATTGAAGTTTGAAGCCAGTCCAGGCAGGAAAGTCCACAAGATTCCACATGGTATATTCATGGGTATATACACAGCAAAAATAAAAAGGGGGGATAGGGAGGAAAAGTGGCAGAAAAAAACAGCCACCAGTGCCTAGCTAACCTGCTATTCTTGAACAAACACCTTCCTCATACTGATGAAGCCTCTACCCTCAGAGAGTGCTGGGGAATGAATGTTGGAGGTAAGAGAACATGGCTTTATACATGCCATAATGCTATGTCAGACACTTTGAATATTATGATTACTACTTTTATGCTGTGTTTACTATTACTAGCTCAACAAGCTGCCTTGAAAAAATCTAGCTGCTGTTACATTGTTTTATTGGATAAAGGCAGTCCAAATCTCAAATAGTTTTTAAACCAGGAACTATAGTTAGGATACAGTTACTGTTTGCAAATACAATTATATTGGAAGGTTCTGCAAAGCCAGGAATAACTGATTTATCAATTCCTTTGCTTAAAAAGGACAAGACAATAGTTCACCCTTTGTCCCATTGTTACTGTGATTCTCCTTCCCTTCCCCCTAGACAGTATGTAGGAAATGAATGTTACAACTTGAGGGGGAGGAGAGTTGGGGGAAAGAGAAAGCAGGAGAAAATGAGGGCGGGAGTAACACTGTTTGGAAAGAAATTTACTCATTATCTTACTTATGTATCTGTAACCCTTCTGTATATCACCTTTAAAATAAAATAAAATTTTTAAATAATAACTTTTAAAAAAAGAACAAGACAATAATACTTAAAGAAGAATTGTGTAGCTGGGGGTGCTGATGGCTCATGGCTATAATCCTAGATACTAAGGAGGCTGAGATTTGAGGATCAAGGTTCAAAGCCAGCCTGGACCGGAAAATCCATGAGACTCTTATCTCCAATAAACCACTAGAAAACCAGAAGGGGCACTGTGGCTCAAGTGGTAGAATGCTAGCCTTGAGCTGAAGAGCAGGAGGGACAGTTCCCAGGCCCAGAGTTCAAGCCCCACAACCAACAACAACAACAACAAAAAAAAATGTGCTGTGTTAAAAGTATTATTCTATTTGCTTTAGAAGTCTTTGAACTAAAAATATTCCATTTTTATTCTGTATACTCAGTAATAACAGAGATCTTTCTACTAAGTAGATGTTTAATGTTTTACTATGGCTCTAGCCCCTCCATTGATAGTATTATAAATATTCAGTAAAAAGAATGTCATCTTATGGCTTTGTTTTTGCTATTTTTCTCTCTTTGCTTTTTTTGATAGAAGGCATTTTTTATTGTTCCTTCTATAGTTCCAAGTAAGAGGACATGTTTAGAGCTGACTGCCACCCCAGGGATCATATTATTTGAAATACTGTCAAAGCTTGTAGAGACTTCAGCCCTACCCAGAAAAGCTATAATGGAAATAGTGAGGTAAGTGGCCAGAAAAGAGATAAAAGCAGTCTTCTCAGAGGTACTTAGAGGACAACTCACCAACATCCTATTCCACAAGAGTATGGTTCAAAACAAAGGAGAAAGTATCTGGCACTGACAGCCAGCATTCCTGCCTGGCTCTGACATCGCAAGGCAGACCTCAGACTATCTCAAGGCCCAATTGTAGGCAAAACTTTCAGCCTTCTCTAGCCTAGGCCACAGAATCCCAGCAACATAAGACTTTTCCAGGCATGATTTCAAGTGGGCTTCAAAATCTGGTATGGAATACAAGACTCTCCTTACAGGAACACCAGGTCCTCTGGCTGTGAGTGAGATACAGTAAGTTCAGACTTCTCATGGTAGTTTAGGGACTTGAGTGGAACCAGAACCCATATATCTTCAAAGCCTTTTGCTATCCTTTCTTAGAGAAGCTTAAAAAATATACATACCACCAGGTGTAAAAAAAAAAATGTTATGGGGCTGGGAATGCGGCTTAGTGATGGAATGTTTGCCTAGCATGCATGAAGCCCTGGGTTAAATCACTCAGTACCACATAATCAGAAAAAGCCAGAAGTGGCACTTTGGCTCAAGTGGTAGAGTGCTAGCCTTGAACAAAAGAAGCTCAAGTACAGTGCCTAAGCCCTGAGTTCAAACCACAGGACTGCCCCCCCCCAAAAAAAGAAAGTTATGCTCTTCAATAGTTTCTCTATACTATCCTGACTATGGAATATAAAACAGAGAATGCACAAAATTCCCCTTTTCATTTCATTTTGGTTGAAAACCACTTATTAAATGCCTGCCATTAGTATGCAAATGTTTAACTCCTCAGCCTCAGTTTTCTCATCTAGAAAAGGTGAGAATAATGGTATCTAATAATAATAATATCTGCCTTAAATGGCAGTTGTGAGAATGATGTATGATAAGACATGTGAAAGTGCATAGTACATTATAAAACCTTAATTAATGTTAGCTACTGTAATAGGGAAGTAATCAGAATGATTATAGACTCTGTGTGTGTATGTGTGTGTGTACGTGTACACTATCACTCTGAAATACAGATCAGTTACATAAGTTATCCAAGAGTTAAGAATGCTTAGATTTTTGTCCCAGTCTGATTCCAGAATCCATGTTCTTACCCACTGTCTTATACTGCCTCTCACACACAATTAGTATATGGGAATTTTTAGATGATGTTGCTGTTTTATTAAAATTAGATTGTGTCATTACTTCTTTGATTGTCTTATGAGGTGATTATTTATCTAATCATCTCTGTATTGTCTGATTCCTAAGAACATTAAGCATGTTAAAATCTGCCCAGCAAACACAAGACCCTGAGTTCAAACCTCAGTACCAGCCCCCCCAAAAAAATAATAAAAACAAACAAGAAACAAAGCCCAAGGAGAAGCCAGAAAGGAGACTTTTTCAGCTATTACCAACATGGATTACAGCTGAAGAAGCTAGATGTACTATAATACAGTACCCATCAGGAACCAAAGCCAACATAGAATATCCACATGACCACCTAGGACACTTCTCCAACTGAAAATCTCTTGTTACAAAGCTATACCCTGTAAACTAGCAGATACAAATACCCTGACAGACTCACAAATACCAACACTTGGATACAAGAAGCCTAAAAAACACTGATACTTCTGAAGAAACACAGTAACTAGCAAGAGATCCTCAAGGAGAAAGAATCAAGGAATTGCTTGACAAAAACTTGAGTTTAAGGAAATTCAATATCCTATAAGAGAAAATAGATAATTCAACAAAATTAGGAATATAATTCATGATATAAATGAGAAATTCAGCAGAGATAGTGATTATTAAACAGAACAATCAGAAAACTTGGTGCTAGACTGGAGGTGTAAACCAGGTGGTAGAACATCGGCCTATCAAACACAAAGTCCTGAATTCATACTAGTAATGCCAAAAGAAAAAATAATATAAAAGGTACACTGTAGCACAAGAAATCTTGGTTCTCTGGTTGAGAATGTGGCTTAGTGGTAGAGTGTTTGCCTTGCATGCATGAAGCCCTGGGTTCAATTCCTCCGTACCACATAAACAGAAAAAGCCAGAATTGGCACTGTGGCTCAAGTGGTAGAGTGCTAACCTTGAGAAAAAGAAGCTCAGGGAAAGTGCCCAGGCCCAGGACTGTCAGAATAATTTTAAAAAAAGAAAGAAAGAAAAAAAGAAATCTTGGTTCTTGGTGCTAAGTTACTCAATAAGTGGGAAAAAAAATACAATTGAAGCTGGGTACCGGTGGTTCATACCCATAATCCTAGCTACTAAGGAGGCTGAGATCTGAGCATCATGGTTTAAAGCCAGCCCAGGCAGGAAAGTCAATGAGACTCTTATCTCCAAAAAACCACCAGAACTAGAAGTGATGCTGTGGCTCGAGTGGTAGAGTACCAGCCTTGAGCTAAAGGGCTCAGTGACTGCACCCAGGCCCAGAGTTCAAGCCCCAGGATTGACAAAAACAAAAAAACTGAAAGTGGCGCTATGGCTCAAGTGGTAGAACACTAGCTAGTCTTGAGCACAAAGAGGCTCAGGGACAGTGTTCAGGCCCTGAGTTCAAGCCCCACAACTGGCCAAAAAAAAAAAAAAATACGATTGAGTACTTCAACAACATAACTGATGAAGGGATATTTCTCAGCTATGAAAGCTGAAATTATCCTCATATTTTAAAAAGAAAAAATTGAATTCAGACATGGTGGTTCACAGTTATAATCCCAGTTACTCAAGAGGCACAGATAGGGAGGGTTACAGTTTGAGGCCAGCCCAGGCTAAAAATTAAAGAGGTCTCAAATCAATCTATAAAGCCATACATGGTGGCACATACTCTGGGATCTCAGCTGCACACCAAGCCATAAGAACACCATGATCTGAGGCTAGTACCAGACAAAAACATTAGTCCCTACCTGAAAAACAAGTAAGAAAAGGGTTGGGGGTATGGTTCAAACGATAGAGCATCCTGCCTAACAAGCACAGGACTCTGAGTTCAAACTCTAGTATAGTTAAAAAGAGAAAAAAACTGAAAAGAAGAAAGTAAGCCATAGAGATTCATAGAATATCATTAAACAAGAAAATAATTTGCATTATGAGTGTTCTGAAGAGGAAAAAGGGCTTATAAAAAACCAATTCTAACAAATTAACTGGGAAAACTGAACACATCTTGGAACATATATGGACATCCAAGAAGCTCAATGGATCCTTTGTAGACTTAACCAAGAAAGATCCTCTTCAACGGATATTAAGGCCAAACTGTCAAAAGTAAAAGACAAAGAGGGGAAAAAAACCTATAAACAGGAAGGAAAAACTATCAGGTCATCAGGTCACATATAAGGACATCTCTATTAGATTAACAGCAGACTTCATTGCAGAGAGAACTGTGGGGGGGAGGGAAAGAGACAGAGATAGAGACAGAGGAAGAGACAGAGAGACACACACACATAGGGAGAGAGACAGAGACATATAAAGAAAGAAAATGGAATGATTAATTCAAAATGTTGACCAGGCCTGTAATCCGAGCTACTCAGAAGGCTGAGATCTGAGGATCAAGGTTCAAAGCCAGCCCGGGCAGGAAAGTCTATGAGACTCTTATCTCCAATAAACCATCAGAAAACTGGAAGTGGCTCTATGACTCAAGCAGTAGAGCGCTCGCCTTGAGCTGAAAAGCGCAGGTACAGCGCCCAAGCCCAGAGTTCAAGCCCCATGACCGACAAAAAATAAAATAAAATAAAATGTTGACCAGGCAACTATGGCTCATATCCATCAGGAGGCTAAGATCTAAGGACTGAAGTTTGATGCCAGCTGGGACAGAAAAGTCTGTGAGACTGTTACCAATACCAGGAAAATGCCAGAATGGAGGCATAACACAAATGTTAGAGCAGCAGCCATAAGTAAGAACACAGAGCAAGAGCTGAGGCCTGAGTTTTGAAGCCCCAGTACCACAAACACATAGAAAAATCAACAAATGGACCTAACAGACATTTGCAGAACCCCTCTTCCCAAGCCACCATATACATATTCTTCTCATCAGCACACACCCATTCTCCCCATTTTAGACAACAAAATATCAAAAATTTTAAGTAAAAACTAAAATGTTGCTAGTGGCTCATGCCTAGAATCCTAGCTATTCAAGAAACTGAGATCTGAGGATTGCTGTTTGATGCCAGCCTGTTCAAGAAAGTCTGAGACACAGTTCTTTCTAATTAACAAGAACAAAAGTTGCAAGTAGAGGTGTAGCTCAAGTGAGAATGCCAGCTTTCAGCTGAAAGTTAAGCAAGTTGAAGTCCCAATATCAGCACATACACACATACCAAAAAATTAAAAAATATTGCAATTATAGCATGTATCTTTGCTAAATAGAACAAACTAGTAATCAACAATAACTCTCAAAATTGTACAAATTCATAGAAATTAGACAATGATTTTTGTTTGTTATTTTGCTGGTCCTGGAGCTTGAACTCAGGGCCTGGGCACTGTCCTTTTTTTTTTGGTCAGTCGTGGGGTCTGAACTCTCAGCTGTTGACTAGCACTCTACAACTTGAGCCTCAGCCTCACTTCTGGCTTTTTCTGCTTATGTGGGTCCTCATGCATGCAAGGCAAGCACTCTACCATTGAGCCACCTTCCCAGCCCCTGGGTACTGTCCTTGAACCTCTCTATGCTCAAGGCTAGCACTCTACCACTTGAGCTACAGCACCACTTCTGGCTTTTTCCGTTTATGTGGTACTGAGGAATTGAACCCAAGGTTTCATGCATGCTAGGCAAGCACTCCTACTGCTAAGCCACATTCCCATCCCTAAACAATGTTTTAACCTCGCCTCTCTTCTCTCTTTCCATATTTTCTACTCCCCTTCTCTCTGCTCTCCCATTTGATTCTGGGGACTAAACCCAGGATTTTACAAATGCTTAGCAAGGGTTGTGCCATAAAGCCATATCTATAAACCTTAAGATGTTATTTTTTTGTTTGGGGGGGGTTATTTATTTTTTGGTCATGAGGCTTGAACTTGGAGCCTTGGGCACTGTTCCTGAGCTCTTTCTCAAGTCTACCATTCTACTACTTTGACCCACAGCTCTACTTCTGTTTTTTGAATGGTTAATTCGAGGTAAGAGTCTCATGGGAACTTTTCTGTCTGAGCTGACTTTGAACTTCAACTCTCAGATCTCAGCCTCCTGAGTAGCTAGGCACTCAGCTTTGAGATGTTTTTTTAATTTTAAAAAGCTGCATTTTAAACTGGGAGAATGTGAAGGGGTGACATTGTCCAAAAAGAAATGTATTCTGTACCTGACTTATGTAACTGTAATCCCTCTGTACATTAAGTTAAAAAAATTAAAAGAAAAAAGTGCATTTTAAATCCAACACAAAGTAATAAGTATGATTAATGTTTGTATGCAAGCTGGTACCACCTGAAGGATTTCTCAAAAGTCCTAATAAGTAATTTTCAATACAAGACAAGGAGGTTTTGAGGAAAAAGAAGAAAACCATAGACCAAGGGCTACAAAAAAAAGTTAAACAGTCTACAACCATTCCATAATGAAACAGAAATAGACATTCAAATAGTATTGAATGAGTATACAGAATAAACTTATTCAACATATATAACTCACAACCTGACATTTTGTTCTTTTTATCCTATAGGTCTTTTAATCCATTTCTGAATTACTTTTTTTTTTCTTTTTAAGCTATTTCCGAAAAAAATTCCAGGATGCCAGTGCAGAAATGTGGAATCCCTATGGAAAAGGGAGATTTAAGCCAGAAATATACACAACTCCAAACTCAAGCACAGCTGCCTTTGCTAATGCAGCCCGGGTTGCAATAATGAAAGAAAAGGATTTATTTAAATTTCTTGAAGAACTCAAGAGTAAGATCCATTTGTCTTCCCTGTTAGTTTATTTGGACCACACATGGTGGTACATTCTGTAATCTCAGCCACTACAGTGAAGATTAGAGATTTGCAGTTTAAGGCTAGTCCAGACAAAAAGTCTGTGAGACCCTCATCTCAACAAATATTCTAGGACTAGTGTGGAACACATCTGTAATCTCAGCTACATGGGCAGTTTAGGTAGAAGGATCACAGTCTGAAGCTGGCTTTGGACAAAAATTTGAGACCTTATGTAGTGATAGAGCATCTGCTTAGCATGTGATAGGTCCTCAGTTAAAATCCAGTACCTACCAAAAAGAAAAAAAGATGTATTTGCATATGACTGGTCAGAAATACTAGAAGCCAAGGTCAAGACCTAAGCCCCGACCTAACTCCTCAGATACCTAGGTGAAGCCTAGAGTTATTAGATGAATATGAAGTGGGAATAAGAGAGCAAAAAGAGAACAAGATCAACAAGGAGAATAGACAAAGAGCAAAATAGGCAACTTGTGTTTTGTTTGATTTTTTTTTTTGGCAGAACAATAGCTTAGTCCCAAAGACTTCACGCATGCTAAGCAAGCACTGAATCATTAACTAAACTATATGCCCAACCTTACTTGCTTGGAATTTGTAATGTAGCCCAGGGTGACCTTTACAACAAGATCCTCCTACCTCTGTCTCCCTAGTGCTGGGATTACAGGCCTGCACATCACCATGCTTGGCTTAGTTTGAGTTTTTGAGGCAGGGTCTCATTGGTAACCCAGATCACTTGGAACCTCCCCTCAGCTGTCTTCATCTTTGTTTTCTTAATGCTAATTCTAAAGGCTTGCCCTTGCCCACTTTATTTCTGTTAACAACCTCAAAATCAGCCTTCCCCTCCCTCCCTCCCCTCCCCTTTCTTCTCTGTCCCTGAGCTCTTCGGCTCAAGGCTACAGCTCTGCCATTGTTTTTGTGGGGGGTGGGGGGAGAGGATTCCCAGTTGTGGGGTTTGAACAATGGGCCTGGGCTCTGTCCCTCAGCTCTTCAGCTCAAGGCTTGAGCTCCACCACTTGAATCACAGTGCCACTTCCGGCTTTTTCTGCTTATGTGGTGCTGAGGAATCAAACCCAGGGCCTCATGCATGTAAGGCAAGTGCTCTACCACTGAGCCACCTTCCCAGCCCTGCCCCCCTTAGCTATGTTGACTGCTGCTCATGCTTATAAGCATGAGCTACCATACCCAGCTATTTACTTGTCTTTCATGGAAACTTCTTATGTTGTTAGTGATACCAGTTTTGTTTTCTTCTTTCTAGGATGCAATCTCCCTACAGATAGCCCATACTCAAAAGTACCCATCTTCCCTTTGTTTCCTGATGTGGATGGGGTGGTGATGGGAAAGCCACCAAGGGATCTGCAGAAATTAGAAATGCTAAGGAGAAAGGAGCCTCTATGTTTCTTTGAGGACTACTTTTTCCATAAAAAAGACTGGAAAACACAGGTGAGACTTAGATTACATCACATTAATTTATATATTTAGATTTGTTTATGAGCCAACAGAATATCATGCTTTTGTGAAAAAATATCTTTAGTCACTATATTTCATATAAGATTCTCGAAGTATGTTCCTCAACATAGGCCCAGATGTAAATATTTCACTTGTAAATAAGTCAATTTACTAAAGATTCCAACTCTCAGTCCTGGTTAGGACAGCTTCTATAAAAATAACAATAATAAAAGACCTGCACTGCTGCAGGGACTGGAAGCTGCATTTAAGATTCCCTCAACCAACCAGAACATATGGCTAACCAAATAACATGCAACAGGAGGGCCAAATCCATGCCAACACTGTTGGGGCCATCTTGTTCCTCCCTAGACCTCCATATGGGCCCAACTGTATCTTCTGGACCATTATCAAGTTCTGGTGCCTCTCTGTATGGCTGTTCATTGACAGTTTTTGTTTTGTTTAGTTAGTTCTTTTAGATAGGATATGAAACCATGCAGGCATGGAATTTATTGTAGCCCAGACTGGTTTAGAACTGGTGATTCTCCTACCTTGGTTTCCTGAATGTTGAGATTATAGGAATGGACCACTATGCCTAGCTATCATCATGAGTTTTAAGTTCTCAAGGCAAGTATACCTGCATTTCTAGCTTTTCTCTTAGGAAACTCTGGCTTCCTCCAAGGTTTTCCATAGGACTCTCAGCTTGAGTACAGGAATGAGATTTGTTTGGAATCAAGCTACCCTGCAAGTCATATCTGAGTTCCCAAGGAAAGTATTTAAGCCACAACCCTATCCAATTAATCAGAAGTTCCAATATCCAGCCAATGATGAAAAACAGTGATGAAGGGAAAGAAAATTGGATGTAGGAGGGGATATCAAGGCTGGCTAGTGCAAATTGAAAATATAGAGCCCCTTTATCAAAATCATCAAGGGGAGCCAGGTGTGGTGGCACGTATCTGTAAATCTTAGCTATGTAGAAGACAAGGTAACATGGATGTGGTTGGAAACAAATAACCCAGGCAAAAATGCAAGACTCTTATCTGAAAAACCAATATATATATATATATATATATATATTTATATTTATATATATATATATATATATATATAAAGACTGGTTCATGATTCAAATGGTAGAGTACTGCCTAATAAGCATAAGGTCCTGAGTTTGACCCCCAGTTCTGCAAAACTAATAAAACAATCAATGGGGCTCTGTGGTATAAAGTGTATGCTTAGCATATGTGAGGGCTGGGTTCAGTCCCTAGTAAAAAGAAAAGAAAAATCAAGAATTTCAAGACAAACTGAAAAATAACAGTGCATGCTTATAATCCCAACATGGAGGAGGAGGAGGAGGAGGAGGAGGAGGACTGAAAGTCCCAGGAGACTACATAATGAATTCAAAACCAACCTGGACTAGTAAGATCCTCTCTAAGCCAGCAATAGCCAAATTCAGAGCCCTCCTAAATATGAGGCCCAATGTCACTATACATAGGGCTTACATCTTGTGAGCTGTCCTGGAGGAAGAAAAGTAAAGAGCGAAACTCTCAGGAGGGACAAAATAAACAATACAGAGAGAAACTC